GAGGCCATCGCTCTTAGGTCGGAGATGGTTGGAGGACATCGCTCTTACAGTAGGTGGTTAGGTGGAGGCTCTTAGATTGGAGGCCATTGCTCTGAGGTTGGAGGCCATTATCACTCTTAGGCTGGAGGCGACCGCTCTGAGATTGGCGACCCTCTTATTTCGGCCTATATAGCCTCCAAGGCCTTCCCAACACAGTACCCTTGGTCCGATTGACTCCCATGGAGCCTGGGCCACCTTGCTTCTCCCCACGGTGAGAGACGCGCAGAATGAAGTCTGGAGGAATGGTTCCCACCTGCCCACATGTCCATCACTCATCCCATTGATTCTGTAGTATACTGAAGTCACATGCCTCCGTCACATTCTTTCTCATCCTTACTACAGTGACTAGCAGTGACTGCTAGTCTCAATGCGCACCCCAGAGTGGCGAATGCATGTCCAACGTGCCTTTTCCGTCTTCCGCCGGCCCGTTCCTCGCTGCACGAAGCCAGGAGAGACCACCATGCCATCAGGAGCCCAGTGGAATTGAATTCCTGCAAACATGGCCTGAAGCGAGGCAAAGCGATAGCGATGGCCTCCGCCCTACTAGCGATGGCCTACAGAGTGTGAAGTGGAAAGCATACATGGCATATCCTCAGGATAAAAAAACAAGAGCATGAGGGGTTGTGTGGATCCACATCCGGAAGGCCAAGCGTTGTGGCAAATGAAGTTGAGGGTTGAGGTCGAGCATGGAATCGAACTGGGCATGTTGTCAAAGAGCGCAGATCCAAACAAAGTCACATGGCAATCTACCACGTATCATTGCATCCTCAATGAAGTCGGCACAGGGCCAAATGTCGCTCACAGCAGATCAGGTGGTTTGGGGGTCTCATTTGGTTTGTTCTGTGATGCCATGCAATTCATACACCTGTCGGCTCGGAGTTGGAGGAAATCAGAGCCATCTCCATCCCTCACATCCACCCGAATGATAAAGGAGTTCCTTAGTGGTGCTTCATGTGTGTTATACCTCTCCCACTCTATGTCTATCTCTATCTCTATCTCTATCTACCTCTCTCTCTCTCTCTCCCTCCCTCCCTCCCTCTCTCTCTCGTGATACAATCACATCACATAGTAGGATCCTGACTAATATCGTCACAGGTCTTGATACTGCATCATCTTTGGAGAGTATGGGACAACGTTTGACCCGCCTTCCTCATGTTCACATACACAAGAATCTTGCATGTGTCCTGATGCCGGTCAGCCCAACTGACTGGCCGCAAGCAAGAAGGCACATGTTTCACGCTGTGACACTTAGGTGACCCAAGGCCAGTTACCTACAAGCCTACAAAGTTGGAAAAGCTGGTGGACTGTGTTGCCCCAATATAATATCATCTTCTATACCTGGGACCAAGCTGATGTTCCACTACGTTCTTGCAAGGTTTTCTTTTCCTTTGTGAAAAAAAA